CAAGTACTTCCGAAGTCCTACTGGCTACACTATTTCTGATACAAGGCAGGATGCCCTTGGCCTTCTTGGCCACCTGAGCACACTGCTTGGCTTATATTCAGCCAGCTGTCCACCAACACTCCCAGGTCCTTTTCTGCCGAGCAGCTTTTCAGCCACTCTTCCCCAAGCCTGCAGCGTTGCATGAGGTTGCTGTGACCCAAGTGCAGGAACCGGCACTGAGCCTTGTTGAACCTCATACAATTGGCCTTGGCCCATCAATGCAGCCTGTCCAGGTCCCTCTGTAGGGCCTTCCTACCCTCCAGCAGATCAACACACATGCCCAGCTTGGTGTCGTCTGCAAACTTACTGAGGGTGCACTCAATCTCCTCCTCCAGATCACTGATAAAGATATTAAACAGGACTGGCCCCAATATTGAGCCCTGGGGAACAACACTTGTGACCAGCCACCAACTGGATTTAAGTCCATTCACCACAACTCTTTGGGCCTGGCCATTCAGCCAGTTTTTTACCCAGCAAAGAGTATGCCCATCCAAGCCATGAGCAGCCAGTTTCTCCAGGCAAATGCTGTGGGAAATAGCATCAAAGGCTTTACTGAAGTCCATGTAGACAACATCCACAGCCTTTCCCTCACCCACTAAGTGGGTCATCTTGTCATAGAAGGAGATCAGGTTAGTCAAGCAGGACCTGCTTGACTATTAAAAGTAAGTTGTATCCCAACACAGGTAGAAACAACCTTTTTTTCCTTCTCCTGCAGTGGCCCCATAAAGAACATATCTTTTACATCTAGTACCACTATTCAGGGGTGAGCGGCATTATGGAGGGTGGCAGTTAATTTAGCAATGTTCAGGACTGCGGCTGTAGGAGGAGTTGTGTTTGCAATTAAATTTCTATAGCCTACAGTTAGGCACCGTCTCCCATCTGTTTTTATAACTGGTCACACTGGGGAATTATATGGGGAGTGCATTCGGGAGATAATGTGTTTCTTTTCTAGGTCAGCTATGACTCCACAATACCCATACAAGCAGCAGCAGAGGTAGGGTAGTGAAGGACATTGGTTATTTTTGAGACAGGCAGTGTGGGTGAAGCTCACAGCAAGCGAACTATGCCAGTTCACAGACACCCATGGGTAGCTGCTAATTTTCACTCAGCTTAACCAAGGACACTCCAGGCGGCCAAAAACCCGAACACTACCATCCAGTAGTTTCCAAACTTGTCCTTGTAATGTATCAAAGCCCAAACCATTTTCCTTCCCTGAAACTACTGCTAACTGGTACCTTGATATCCTTTTCTTCCCTGGCAATAACAAGTTTACTTTAGCTACAGGGCATATTTCACTTTTACCAGTTAATCCTGTTATTTAACCCTTTCTTGGAGGGCTTAACATTAGTTCTTTGGGCATCCAAACTTGAAATTGTTGAAATTTTACCTCCTGTGTCAATTTACTAGTTATCTTTGATGGCCCATTGGGACATAAATAAGAGAGCTGTCTGTGTTATCCCATTGATAAGCTTCCATGAGGGTGTTTATCAGGTTGGGGAAAGTGTCTGGGGCTCTGGGGAGTCTGTCTTACTTGCCAGATCCCTCTGCTGTCTGCATCAGCTTGGGATTGCCCTGCTGGCGTTGGTTTGTTCCTCCCCATTTCTCGATTATGATTTACAGTGCTATCCATTAAGTCTGCCCAGGTCGGGATGAGTCAAAGGTGGGCTTGGCTGCCCTGAGCCTCCTGAGCATTATGTTCTATGTCTTATTTCACCCCTTTCTACAATGAAGTTCAATTTTAAGACAGCAGGGGCTCCATTTAGCAGTGGTCTCGTAGCTTGGGGGTCTACAGGGGCAAAGAGGGTAATTACCATGTGCACCCCTGTCATTCACAGCCTGAAGGCAGGCTGCTTTTGTAACAGCAGTATAGAGTTTGCTTAATGATCTTACTGGTATAGCAGTGGGCTCCCCTCCATCCCAAGGGTCTATGCCCCCTGCCCAATAAGCTACTTGGCATGTAATAGAGTATGGCTCTGTGTTACGTGCTGGTCTCTCATTTAAGAACACTCCTGGTCCCCAAAAGCTGTCCGCTTTGCCTTGGTCTATCATAATATGATGTCCTCCAGTTAAGGAGATATTCAGTCTCGCTCTCACCAGGCTTCCGCCCATATTTTTCATGCAGATTGGCCAGTTGAAGGGGGTTCCATGGAATGGTCCTTGTGGTATTTCTCTGGTTGCCCCCTTGAGGTCCAGCAGATACCTCAGTATTAGTAATAGGGGCTACCTTAAATTCTGATTCATCTAATTCACTCTCACCTCTAAGTTCTAAGTCAGGGTTCTCCCGAATATTTCTATCCCAGTCTTCTGGGGACACGATTAGCTTATGAATTTTTACAGGATCTGGTGGGTTGGGGGCCTGAATTATCATGAGTTCTAGTTTATCCTCTACCTTCCTGCGTTCTTCTTTTTCATCTCCCAGTTGTTTCAGCAATTGATCTATTTGGAGAGATAACAGCATTTCTTGTTGCTTTCTTTGTTCAACCTCACCTTCTAACACTCTCATTTCCTGTTCTTTACATTCCTTAAACTGATACACAGCTCCTAAACGTGTTCCCAACATTTGGCATTATTCTCTTCTCTTTACCATCTTTCATTTTCCCTGTTGCAAGGTTTAATTGTTTCTCCATCTTATTCCAATTATTCCGCTTTTTGTGCACCCTGTCATCCAAAAATTTCAGTGAAGGGTTAACTTCGTGCCTCCATAAGTATTCAGTGATTGAATCCACCATCCTGCAGACTACACCAATTTTTGTCACAGGTGAATTATTAAGAGAAGTCATCATTGTGGGACTTCTAAAATGTTTTATTAATGATTAAACGATGATCAAATAAGAATTAATTGATGACTGAATGAAAATTAAATGGTAATCAAAGGGTGATTAAGCAATAATTGAATGGTAATTAAACAGTGATTTTACAATGATTTGACAATCATTTAAATGATAATTGAGATGGTGATTAGACGATGATTTAGACAATGATTTAGACAGTGGTCAAGCACTCCACTACACTTCTAATAGTTAAGCTATAGCTGGATATATAAATAAATATCGCTAGCATACAAGATACTTTTAGGCCTAATGTAAAATGTCTCTTACCTCGTTATAGATATCAGATCCTGGGTAAGGGGTCTCTCAGCCTTGAGGACTCACCTTGAGAAGTGTCCCTGCTCAAAGGGCAGACCATTGCCATGCACCCTGTTGCCGTATAGGAGAGGCCAATGGGCTCAGGAGGGCAACAAATATTTATAAGTGATGGACTCATAGTCAAACCCTCCTTTGGTGCATGTGCAGGAGTTCAGCTGTAGCAGTTTTAGTTTTGTCTAGTCCCAGCCCGGGCTGGTACTGTTAGCTCCTGATAAGATGTGGCCTAGACTCCTTAGTCCCTAAGAAGATACGGCCTAGCACAGTTCTCACGGTTTGCACAGCAGGACTGATTTCAGCCAGGGCTACTTGTCGGTGATGCTTGAACCAAAGTACTGTTCACTAATTCAGAGTGGGTGAATCCATCACAGTGTCATGAACTGGTCTTATGTCCCTTTGCCTGCTGGCTCCTCACAGCCTCTTCTGGCATTGCTGAGTCCTCGTTAGCCCGTGTGCTCCTCAGGTTCACCTTTTCCTCTGGAAGAATCTACTTTATGATATTACACACTTTGTGAGGTGCCACTCACTGCCCACCCAGAGTTGTACGCTGTCCCTGGAGTTTCCCTGAGCTCTCCTGGCAGTTTCTGGTTTCTCTCCAGGACAGCATCTGCCATCATACCCACCACAGGTATGACAGTGCCAGGCAGATAAGTCAAGAGCAGTTGCTGTCTTCTTGGACACATGCAACCAAGAAAGGAGCTCTCCGTTCAACCCTTGGTCCCTAACATATCATGCTGGGACCCTTAGCTTGTCCCCCCAAATCTGTCAAAAAACCCAGAACAGCAAAAGGCCTTTTTTGGGAGCAGCTCCTTGGGTGTATTCCTGACACCAGCTTTGGAAGAGGCAGCCGGTCTTGTGGCCCTGTCCTGAGGAGCCCTTTTGGTGACGGTGGTGCTAACAGGGAGGCCAGCTCTGACACAGTGGTTCACATGGCCTGCTCCTGCCTGCAGCCACAGGCATGCTACTGTGGAGGCAACAGGACTGTCACAAGTTACATGAGACCTTAGGCCTTATACAAATGCTTTGTGGCGTCCCTGCTCAGAGGGGATCCTCAGCACGGCCCTGAAGATCTGCACATAGGACACCACAATGAAAACAAAACACCCAAAGCCCACAAAGACACTAACCACAATAAGTCCAACCTCCCTGGGGTAGGAGTGTGAGCAGGAGAGCTTGAGGATCTGGGGGATTTCACAGGAGAACTGGTCCAGGGCATTGCTGTGGCAGAGTGGTAGTGAAAATGGGTCGAGAGTGTACAGGAGAAAACCACTGCACCAGGCAGCTGCTGCCATGTGGACACAAGCTCTGCTGCCCAGGAGGGTCCCGTAGTGCAGGGGTTTGCAAATGGCAACGTAGCGGTCATAGGCCATGACGGTGAGAAGAAAAAACTCTGCTGAAATCAGTAAGATAAACAGAAAGACTTGGGCAGCACATCCCAAGAAGGAGATGGCCCTGGTGTCCCAGAAGGAATTGCCCATGGCTTTGGGGACAGTGGTGGAGATGGAGCCCAGGTCGAGGAGGGAGAGGTTGAGGAGGAAGAAGTACATGGGGGTGTGGAGGTGATGGTCACAGGCTACAGCAGTGATGATGATGCTGTTGCCCAGGAGGGCAGCCAGGTAGATGCCCAGCAAGAGCCAGAAGTGCAAGAGCTGCAGCTCCCATGTGTCTGCGAATGCCAGGAGGAACTTGTTGATGGAGCTGCTGTTGGACATTTGCCACCTCTGGGCATGGGGATCTGTTCAAGGAGGTAAAGGAAGTGAGAAGTTAGGGCAGAATTCTTTGAGAAAAATCTATTCAATTTTCTATAAAAAATCCCCCAAACCACCTTTCACTTTTCAGGCAGACCTTCAGTGAGCTCTGGCTGGTGCTGGCTGAGGGTGTCTCAGGGAGCAGGAGGCTCTGCTGTGGGCTCCGCAAGAGTCAGTCCTGCCCTACAGCAATAAGGAAATAGGAACTCAGGGTGATCTCAGATTAAATCAACTCGTGATATGAGAAAACTTTTCACCATTGTCGCTCCTAATTCACCTGACTGCAGAGCAGAGCTGTGGGGATTTTGTTTTGTGTCTCCTGCTCTAGTTGCCCCACCACAGCTGAGGAGCGGTTTAAATGCAGAAATCCTTGGCATTTGTGCTGCACTGCAAGTGAAACCTTGTGGGTCCCAAGAGGCAAACCGACTGTCCTTTAGCACAGGGTGAGGACAGCCGGTCTGTCCATCAGCCCTGCTCTCAGCTGCCCTGTGCTGGCAGCTCTTTCAGCTGGAGGACTATCACACTCCAGTGTTCCTCCCAGAAGAAACAGGATGCTGCTGGGAGCAGAGGAATCCAGTTTCTGAGTGCAGATCTCCAACCCCCTCGCCCCATCTCATCATACCTGAGGAGGACCTCAGCTCTGTCTTCCCAAAGAGAGACACAGAGGGCTCATTACAGCTGCCCTCATGCAGCCACCCAGCAGCATTTCAAAGGCCTTAGCACGGAGGTGTCTTCTCCATGGGGTCCTGTATAACAGAGAGATGCCATGGGAGAGCTGTGCCCTAGTGGAGGGCAGCCTGTAGCGCAGCAGAACCTCCTAAGGACAGAGTCAACTGTCCTAAATTTGTTATGTCCTACAGAGAGGGTGAGATCACTGCCAGCCACACACACTGCAGTACCCAGAGCCCCAAAGGTTAACAGGGTGCGAGTTGGATGCTTCTCCTCCATGGATATATGTCACACCAGTGAGTGTAACAATAAGAACAAGGGTGGCAGGGAGAAGAGGAGAACATGCCAAAGGACCCCTGCCAAGAGAGGCAGGAGAGGGAGACACAGTCAGAGCCTTGAGTTTTTCTCCTCTTTGGCGGTCAAGTTGCTGGCCAAGTCTCCATGACATTAAGGGCAGAGGCTCTGCTGTGTGAGTCAGGAGACCGGGGGGCTGATCCCCAGAAAGCATCTGCACTGCAGGGGATGGCAGGGAGATGTCTGAATCCCTCCTCCCTCGGCATTTCTGGGAGCAGGTCTCCCCTTCTGCCCATGTCTCTGCTGCCTGGAGCTCTTCTTGGCCAGGACCTGTTTCTCTGTCCCCACATCTCCTCCCTCTTCATGCTCACAGAGCCCATCCCACCTGCTGTGTGCTCAGCTCTGCCCTGCAGACACCTCCTGGCAGCAGGGCACTGCCCAGGGGCATCTCTGTGTGTGCAGGGGCTAAGGAGCAGCTCAGACAAGTCCTAACGAGATCTGAGGCCTCATGGCCTGCTCCAGAGCAGAGAAATAAATTCCCATCTCCCACCGACCACCCAGCCAACCAAGAGGAGAAAACTCAAAGCAAAGACTTCTTCCGTTTCTGGTGATCCCCTACCTTGACATCCATCTTTAAAACAACCCTCTGCAAATGTCCTCCAGGTGATGTGAAAGTCTGAGCAGCCCTGACCCACACAGCACCTTCTGGACAGCAGAAGGATCCTGCCCTGCCAGAGCTCACTGCTTCCACCCACAGCTTCTCCCCATAGCGTTGTGAGGAGCTCCCCAGGCAGGCTGAGTGCTGACCCTGACAGGCGGCAGAGGCCAGGGCCAGGGCAGGAGCAGGAGCAGGAGCAGCTATCTGCCAGTGCCTAGGGGGTGGGACCTGGAGACCTCACTGCCCGTGGGCCCCGCCATGGCCCAGTTCACCAGCTCAGGATAGAAACTGCGGGGAGTTGGCCAGGGGGCAGTGATCGCTGCTCGGGGCTGGGCTGGGCGTCGGTCGGCGGGTGGTGAGCGGTTGCGTCACTTGTTTTGCCTGGGTTTTGTTCCTCTGTTTCATAGAATCATGGAATAGAATCATAGAATGCGTTGGGATGGAAGGGACCTTTCAAGGTCACCTAGTCCATCCCCCCTGCAATGGGCAGGGACATCTACAACTAGATCCGGTTGCTCAGAGCCCCCTCCAGCCTGGCCTTGAACGTTTCCAAGGATGGGGCATCCACCACCTCTCTGGGCAACCTGTTCCAGTGTTTCACTACCCTCATTGTAAAAAATCTCTTCCTTATATCCAGTCTGAATCTACCCTCTTGTAGTTTAAAGCCATCACCCCTTGTCTTATCGCTACTGGCCCCGCTAAAAAGTCTGTGCCCATCTTTCTCGTAAGCCCCCTTTAAGTACTGAAAGGCTGCAATAAGGTCACCCCGCAGCCTTCTCTTCTCCAGCCTGAACAACCCCGGCTCTTGCCGCCTTCCCTCAGAAGAGAGGGGCTCCATCCCTTTGCTCGTTTTTGTGGCCCTTCTCTGGACCCTCTCCAACAGGTCTATGTCCTTCTTGTACCGAGGACCCCAGAGCTGGAGGCAGTGCTCCAGGTGGGGTCTCACCAGAGCAGAGTAGAGGGGCAGAATCCCCTCCCTCGACCTGCTGGCCACGCTTCTTTGGATGCAGCCCAGGATACGGCGGGCCGCCTGGGCTGCGAGAGCACATTGCCGGCTCATGTCCAGCTTTTCGTCCATCGGTACTGTCCCGGTGCGATTTTGGGCTCGGGGAAGGTTTGTGATGATCCCAAGAGTCAGATTAAGACAGTCCAGCCTCTCACAAGTACCCCCAAGTCCTTCTCAGCGGGGCTTCACACAGTCCCTTCATCCCCCAGCCTGTACTGATACCGGGGATTACTCAGACCCAAGTGCAGGACCTTGCACTTCTCCTTCTTGAACCTCATGAGGTTCACACAGGCCCACCTCTCCAGCCTGTCCAGAACCCTCTGGATGCCATCCCGTCCCTCAGGCGTGTCGACCGCACCACTCAGCTTGGTGTCACCTGCACACTTGCTGAGGGTGCACTCGATCCCGCTGTCTATGTCCTTGATGAAGATATTGAACAGCGCTGGCCCCAGAGCGG